CAAACATGCTGACAGGAAATATTGCTTTCTCTTATTTTCAGTCTTTGGTTCCGTGTTTTTTTAACTAGACTTTAGTGTAATGGCTCCACCATGTGGTCATTATATGTAACGACATCACTCATTTTTCAGGTTGACATTTATTATAAAGGTAGTCATTTAGTTTCCTTTTTTTGTCTTTTTGAAAGACTTATAAGTTTTTCAAATAAACTAGTTGATATAAAATAAGCATTTTTGAATGTTTCCACTCCAGTGGTTGTTGTAAACTGTTGCATGTGTCAGTGTCTTAAATATTTACTTTTCGAAACATGTATGGCTTTGTTTCTAGCTAGAAGAAAAAAAATATAAAAAATTATAAACACTGCACATATAATGTCAGTACCGTGCCTAATAATTACTTTAGCATAATAATTCAAATAACTGCAAAAACATTTGCATAGGGTAAACATTTGTTAGCACATTGTTTTGTAGTTTACTGGAAGATTTAATATTTAATCTGATCATCCACAACCAGTCCCTTACATTCAAATTTTGGTGCAGCACCAAGTCGTAATAATTGCAAAACTGACATTACTTGTCATATTAATCTTTGATAAGAATGCAAAACTTACTGACATCATATAGGCAGACTATCAGTGTGTCAAATTAAACCGGATTGCACACTATAAAAACACAGAAAACATCTTTGATACATTCTAAAGAATAACATTTAAATGAGTTAAAAAAAGGGCAGTTACACTATCTGCTCAAGAGCTTAACACATGAGTGATGGGGTCTAGGGAATGTCTGGTCACTGGTCACAGGTGGCGCTAATATGGAGCAGAGTTTAGTTTCTCTTTGGCATATGGATATGGTCTGCAGCATCCTAAATCATAAACGTTCGTATCCAGCAGAGAGGGAGGCTCTCAGTGCATTTTTCCCACTTGCGTCAATAGAGGGTATTGACTGGCTTAATGCTTGTTTCCCACAACTTATTTAGCACCATTCAGTAGTTTGGCAGTAACTCAGAGTGGAATATGTTATTGTTTTATTGTTCGCAACAGTGTACCTAAAATAGAGAAAGAAACAGAACAAGATGTGTTTACTGACATTCAAGATTGACTTTATTTGAACATTCTAGTCGTTTTAGTTCAGCGTCATGTTCTCATAATATAGTTCACAAATTAATCTTTAACGTTTTTCTTTCTGTTTATACTTATATTGTTTATGCACATTTTATGCATACAAAATAATAATAAAATAAAATAAAAATCTTTGCCTTTTCTTTGTGATTACGCTGCCTCCTGCTGGCAAAAGAAACCAATAGAAGTACGCTCTGGAGGTGTATACAATCGTAGGATGAAATGAAATACAAGGTATCGTAAACCAATAGTACAAGATAACTGTTCTTCCTGACTCCAAAGGTCAAAAAGATTAGCAGATAAAAAGGGTATGTATGATGTATGAGAAACACATTTAGGGAACGCCTTATTCTGCAGCACATGAATTACACATTTGAAATTCACAGACATCTCTTGAGTAACATTTCTGTATTGTATTACACTATTCACTATTGCATTTGTTACATTGCTTAGTTTTAAAAATTAGTCCACTTCGACTGTAATCAATATAAACAACAACAACAACATAAATACGTTCTCTCTCTCTTTTTTTGCAATAAGTTCCATAATGTTAATGTGAACGTCTGTGTATTTAGAAAAAGCCTAGGCTTTTTGAATTGTCTTTTGACATAATAATTTAGTTCTTAGGCGTCTGTGCACTAATTCCAAAATGCTAAAATGTTTTTAAAATCCCTCGGACATTTTATTATAGTTGCCACAATGTTACAGGCAATCCTCTCATGAAGCTCAGTTATTTTACAAAAATAGGTTTTAAATACTTCACTGAAGACAACAGGACGTACATCTGACGTGCATAGCTGAAAACATGCTGCTCTGATCAGATATGTAGCTTAATGCATTTGAACTTGTAATTGCTTGCAGAACTGCCATGGATCCTTGCACAGTTGTAGGTCTGTCTCACCGCCAAGATATTCATACGCATATTTTGAGAATGACATGCAAAGCATTAATGGAGCGCGTTTTGCGCACAGATGTTACTGAAATTATGCATTTTGTGATTCACATTAACAGATCCTTCCTAGCATAGCCAATTCCTGTGTGGCGCACGTTTTTAAGACTGAAAAGGTAACCGTTTGTCTTATAAGTAATGGCTGACGTAACCAGTTGCCAGCGAGATTTATTTATTCACAACAGACTTTTATCCAAAACGACTTACAGATGATGCAATCAAATCAATATTTATAAGATTTTCGGTTTTATGCCAAACCATTAATCTTTCACTAATTTGCATTAACGTGCATGTTATATAAAAAGACAACAATGCCACAAAAAACTGATGCATGCCTTAGAAGTTCAACATCTGGACCTCTAGTCTACTCCAGTCAGCACACACAGCATGTGCATTTGCTAAAAAAAAAAAAAAAAAAAAAAACTAAAATACTAATATAAAATAAAATTATGTTGTATAGTCCTGTTGATCTTTCCCATTCTTGCTACACCTTAAACAATTTCTGCAGACTACACCAGCCTATGGAAAGAAGCTGTTAATTATTCAACCACAATCTTGAACTTTAAGAGAAAAAACAGAATTAGCTCACTCCCCTCTCCTCTCCACACCAGACACATGCTATTTAGAGACGGCTCGGCAGTAAAACTTTACAGCAAATGGAGTGGCTTGGTTGTCATGGCTACAGTTATACGAGTTTGACCGAAGATACTCTCGCCATTTGGAAGAGGCCAGCGATTCTGTTTGTGATTATAAAACTGGAATGTGTAGAATATAGGAAAATTCGATCAGGGTTCCTTTTCTTTGTGGCTATTTGTAAGAGAAAAGGAGTCTAGGACGAAAGACACACGGTACCTGGGATGTTCTTAAAATGCGTTAGGCATGTAAGTCAGAAAATGTTAAATAGTTTTAGTGCAGCACGCCAGACAAAAAGTAAACAATTGCCCGAGACAGGTGATGTCAACGTCAAATCTTTACCGCAAGCAATCATTCATGGGACGTCGAAGGCCAAAGGCCTCTTCGCGCCGAAGCTATTTGGATTTATGAGAACTTATTCAATTTTTCCAGTTTTTATTCCAGTTGTGAAAGAGGGTCTGCTGGAGAACAATGTAAGTGTATTACATTTATACACGCACTGATTTGTAAGTTGTTTATTTATCACCATATGGTTTATCCAGGTTATCAAGTGATTAAGATGATTTCTCTTCTGTGAATGAAACGTCCAGATGTACCTTTTAACTTAATACATTTGGCAATGTAAAAAATATGACGATATGTCAGTGTTAGACATTTGAGACAAGTGTTTATTGTATCATATTCATCGTCGATTTTAAACTTATTTTTAAAGATTTGTTATAAACTATTTCCTTGAATTATAATTTTTGCACTTGAACAATTACAAAATACAACATTAGCCTACTTTACAATCTCGGGAAATGAAGATAGCAGAATATTGTAGTATGTAAGCTAAAAAGACCTCATTTACACCCAGTATGTTTGCTTCAGAGAATATTAAGTTATTTATTTTGATTTTAAAAGCTGGACACTGAAGGCGCACCAGAAAAACGGGTTTCGCCCATTCCGAAACTATAATGACATGTTTATTTTGTCGTCTAATAACTAGTGGATTATGTAATAAGCAAATAACTAATTTGGTCACAAAACCCCAGTCCTGCCGTTGAGGAAGCACGTGGTTTGGCCCTGAGGTTCACGTGCTTGTATTGATCAAAGCTGCTATTAAATGCGCAACGTGAGTAGTCAGGCCGATAAATTCGCAATGGTGCAGGCTTCGACTTATGTAAAGTTTTTAACAAATGTAACATTTGTGGATTTGTGGCTTCATGTTAGTTTTATTCACGATGCTTCAAAATAATTAGTTTGTTGTGTATCAATATTGTTTTTACTATCTAAAATAAGATATAGGTTAAGAAAATCTTTAAACGTCTTTTAATCTTTTAATTCACATCTCGTCAGATATATAAATAATAAATTTAACAAAGTTTATCTACAGAATCTACTGATTATTAGGACAAGCCCATCTTTCTAAAACATTTTATTGAAGATATATTTTTACAGAGTGTTTGCTATACTCCGTTAAAATATTTTGTGCTCTCACTCCTATCTTGTTTTTCTGAAACAAAACATAAATACTACATGCTAAAACCTTTTTATTGGTACCTTTGAAATATTTGACCCAAACTAAATTTGACCCAAAATAAGTTGCTATTTTACTTACGCATATAATCCGTTTTGTTCCTCTTATATATAAAATATAAAAAATACAATAACATAACACTGATAATAATAAAACACAGTTAAAAAGCATACTATAGCTGCAGTTATGTAATAAACTAAATTAATTCATTACTGACAGCATCTATTATAATAAAATAAGAACTATGTTGTTATTATTATTAAACAGCGGCAGCTTATAAATTAATTTGTATACTGTGAATAAAAACATTGCTTCAATTTAATTAGCCTATTCGTGTTGCTTATTTTAGACTCTTATCATCGGTGTTATTTGATATCTATTGGTCTTTTTTTTTTTTACTTTTAATGCCAGCTAATTTAAGTAGGCTAGTTAATATTTTTGGTTAAATATTTATTACCAGTATTTTTGTAACATGTATGGTTGACCTAATTCGCAAAGACAGTGCTAAACGTTAGTTCACCTTGACTATAATTTATTATTATAATTTTTAAATCTTCAAATAATCAATAAGATTAGCCTAATAAGATTGTCTTCATGGGCTTTTTTATTCAGACATTTATCTATAAGCTGGTATAGCATTAATTTAAAAAATCACAATGATTTGGGATGGAAGCTTGATGAAGCACTTGAATTAAGCAGTTCTGCAAGGGGAGGAGTTTGTCCGTGAACCCCAGTCTCTATTGAGCTCGCAGCAGAAGGAAACGTACGTGCGCCATACTGCTTGAAAAGCCAATAGTAAGGACACTGTTGCCTTGGCCCAAAATATGCTCCAGCAATGTCATTCTCTGACAAATTCTCTGCGGTGATTGTCACACTGTCTGAAGGGAAATCTTTCGATAGCCCAAGTCTAAAGGATCCTTTGCGTGGGGCGAACGGAGGCTCACGTCCTAACCTGGAGTGCCAAGTCCAAAATAGCGGAACCACCCCAGCGTATTCGATCGAGCTCCAGACAGTAAACCAGATTCAGAAATTTCCCGGTAAGCCATGGCTCTGCCGCGTCACCAGTTTCTCCATGGAGCTGTGAACTGGGACGGAGCGCGCTTGAGTCCTGTCCAGGTTTCTCATGTCAGCGCGTGCCCCATCAGCGCTTCAGGTCGAAAAGAGGACCCCTTCTATTTTTCTCTGGACCCAACAGGGCAAGCCAGACAGCCTCTCGACATCTCCGCCTTCAGCAGATTCATGACAGATATGGGCTCTCTGAACGGCACTGACGACAACCATCGTCCAGAACCGTCTTTTTACTCCGAACACAAACTCTTATCTCCCAATACCGACACGGATCCAGAGAGTCCGTCGCACTCTTCCCACTCAGACTCCCAACAGTTGCACAGTCTGTCTTTCTCCGCGCCTTCCTGTTCAGAAACCGACAATAAGCCCTATACGCATTATTTAACGACGGAAAGCACTAAATACCCAAGCCAGTGGAGTGAAAGCAGAACCACCGGGAGCATCATCACCACACTGAGCATCAGTCAAAGGAGTAGAAACGACACAGAGCCAAATAATCTCCAGACAGACTTTACCGGGAGCGATAAAACTCACAGAAAGGGAACGCAAGGTGGGTAAACAAGGTTAAAAGAGACAGCAGTGGGTAAAGCAAGCCCATCAAGATTTTATTTTTTCCCTTTCCGAAAGCAATTGAAGGGTGTAGCCACTAAGACACAAAGAGAACCAGGGCTTGAAAATGAATTTATTGCACCGAATTGCCCCAGACAGACTAAATTGCACGTCGTTTCTCAGAACATCAAAACAGCGGAAGGATCCATTGTCAACTGGAAACCTTAGTGTGGGCCAGGTGTGACATTGCTTTAGGACACTTTTTATTCATGTGAAACGAAGAAAGTCTGAACTGACGGTTTGGTATAATTACACACTTCGTGTGTATAAGCTATTGAGGCTATAGGCCTATGATGTAAAGATAAACCAACGTTAGCAGATTCAGAGCAGCCATGTAAAAAATATGTTTTACTATCCTAGTATTTTAGAGCAATATATAGGCTACACGCGTTTTAAGGACTCTGATAAACGTGGCAGAGGCCTAAAATTTCTAAAAGGTGTGTGTGTGTAACTGGTTTGCCATTTTTCCTAAATAGTCTATATATTGAATATTCACTTATGTATTTTATTTGTTTAGCCCGAAATGTGCAGTAGGCTATTTAAGACATTTTTTATTATGCTAAACCTATAACAAAAAATTAAGAACGATTGAAAGTTGCATTATAAATGAGAAAACTTTAAAGGTGACAAGTAAATGTCATTTCAGCCTCTGGAATGTGAGGGCCAATACTTTTTCTTTCTCTTTTTTCCCCTTGTTCTTTTACTTTTTTTTTTTTTTTACTTTTCTTGGCTTCGTCCATTTTATGAACTAGTTATTGGCTAAATATAATTGGTTAAACTCGCTTTAGTTAAGATAATATTTGAATGAACTTCAAAATGTTTATCCAAATTCATATCATGCATCGTTCTCTCCCTTCCTCCTCATTTGTTTTTTTTCTCCCCCTCTCGCCGACCAACAGAGACGCAGTGCGTAGTCTGTGCTGACATTATTTCCTGTCATAAAATGTCGGACACAGCCAGGTAATGGCCGCGAGCGTCAAGCTCCGTGGCTATTTGCTCACTGTGAAGGGCGACTGTATAATAGCCTTGTCTCTCTTTCTCTTTTTATCTGAAGACGTGACTTTAGAAAACGCTGCAAATGGCTGGCTGTCGGCGAAAGCAGGGAGGAAGAAGCGATGTCCTTACAGCAAACACCAAATCTTAGAGCTGGAAAAAGAATTCCTATTCAACATGTACCTGACTCGCGAGCGCCGCCTGGAGATTAGCCGGAGCATAAATCTCACCGACCGCCAGGTTAAGATTTGGTTTCAGAATCGCAGGATGAAACTGAAAAAAATGACTCGAGAGCACCAGACAAGGGACCCTGGCACAAGTTTCACTTTCTAGTTTGCTATGTAAGACGGTTAAAAATACCTAACTCGGCGCACAAATCATTGCAGCTATCATCCGGTGCAAGTGGATTGATGCAACTGCTGCTTCTGATGAATTAACGGGAGGAAACGATCAGTCAAATCTTACTACGGTGTTTCACAATATGTGTTCAATAAGGCAAATGTAATGTACATAAATGTAATACCTTGCATGAAGATGAACAGAAAATTGTAACGAAATAAGAAGAGACGTTTTTGACTGTTCGATGTAGCCTAAGCTTGTCGTATTCACACAAGGCCCATGGACAATGTTTATTGATGTCGTTTAAGTTCTGGTCAACTTTCCAGCGACGTAATATTTTGTAATTAGGTATGGATGTTTGAAACTTTTGTATGTTAATTTGCACTGTGAAGGATTTTTATTATTAAATTTGTATTGTGTTATGAGATGTGCTATATTTTTGTAGGTTTCATTTAAGTGAAGATGAAATGTATCCATTGTTTACTTTTTTTCCATTCTGTCCGAGATTTTTCGGCGCGTAAGAAATAATTCTGAACATATGCTGATGTTACTTGACTTGTTACAGTTCCTCCTCTTTTGTCTTTGTTTTGGTGAACCGCCATGTTGAGAAGGGACAATCCCCAACGTCATTGGCCAGGCAGGGGCCTCTTTTTATAACAGGGGGCAATATAGACCTTTTATTGCCGACAGTCTGGAGAGAACCGGACATGCTTGTGAACTTAAATTACTTTATTTCAAGCAACGTCTTTAAACAATTCTCGCTATCTCCTTTCCCCGCAGTGGGTCAGAAATGTTCCAGTTGATTTCTTGAGATTTTAGCTCTAGTGCCCTCTAATACGTTTCCTCAGTTAAGCAGTCCTCTGTTAAAAGACAGCACTGAAATATGAGTGCTCATCTGGTTCAGTACTTTTGGACGCTAGACTGCTGGCAGCCTTTCAGGTCTTGCCTTTGAACACGGAGAAGACCAAGCTGGTCTGTGATTTAGGTAGTTTCAAGTTGTTGGGCTGGACGTTTAATTTCACAGGAACCTGAAACTGCCTGGATTGCTCCAGTTAAATACACCATTGTCCGTTCAACGTGGAATGAGGATATAGTGTCGACTTCATTGAAAATACTGATTTAATAATCCTTGTAAACGAGCGATTCTTACAGATCATGCTTTTGTTATTATTGCAGTCATTACATCGTGTTGTTTCTTTCTTTTGCATATTACTTACACACTCAGTAACTGGTATATATAATATTCAGTTTTTTTTTATGATGAAAACTTGGCTACAAGCGCTAGTTTGTAAATCTGTTCATCCACAACACTGCATTTCTTCGATAGTTTTCCCCTCCTTTTTCAAAATGGCCTGTTTTTTTTTTACTTCGCGCCGGTGAGTTGGCAGATACAAGTCCTGCACGATTTTAAAACACATTTTAAGTTCTAAAAATTCCAACACAATGCCTCAATTATATAGGTTACTAAACTATTTTATAAATATTCAAATGTTTTAGGAAATGTGATGTTAATCAATTGTGATCACCTGTAAAATTTTTGCAGTTAGAGTAGAATAAACACCTTTTCATGCTGTATAAAACACACACATACATATTTCATATTTTTTATATAAACACATGATCTATGAAAAAACGCGTTTCTTTTGGTCTCATCCGTGTAGAAAGTTGGTTGTTTTTACTGTTGTACTATTGTGTGTATTCCTAACTGAGCAACTGCTGTCTCTCTGGTTTAATTTGTATTTTCACTTAAAGCTTTGTGTGAAGCTTTGTGTGTGACTAGCCTGCCAGTGTAGTTTTCAACAGATCGTTGAAGATCTAAGTTTTTTTTTATTTATTTACATTTTAAATATACAGGGAGGAATAATTTTGCTAAAACAGTTATAATTTAACCAAAAACCGTTTAGAACATATCTCATCAATTCTGTCGTTTTAGAAGCTGTTGTGTTAAGTAATCCACAATAAGTGACAAATCCACAACATCATTTTTTTTGTCATATAGGCTTTATCATATAAAAAAATCTGATTAACTGTGATATTTCTTTAGAACAAACTCATTAGAGCAGTAGAAAACTTCGTTTTGATGTGGAAACTTTGTAAAATTGCATTTGTTGATGATTTGAATTATACACTGCATGGTAACGTTTCCAGAGTGCCTGCTTGTGGTGACTAATAGCGTGCAACAATATTGGTCAATATGCTATCATTGCTGAAGTCATCGGTAGGCTATACCAGCAAAAAATATGGCGAAATTCGAAATTTTACGAATTCTTGCAACATGTAAATTCGTATTACAGCACTGGCCCACTCGATACAAGAAACTCTCCATATTGAAGGTGATACGTGCAGTTTGACCTTCCAGTTAAGGTCCACTCTTCTATACTGAATAAAATAAGAGATGTTTAGGGTACTTACATAATAGTTATAAAACGGTGTTGATATTAAGACATTTTAAACTTTGCTTTGAAAAGGATACATTAATCTCTTTGTTGCTGATGCCTTGATTAGGCCTACTTGAAGAAACTTCATGCTAAAATATCAAACATATCCAGAATGTGGACGAGGAAGATACTGAGTCATGCTTAACAGCCAAAGGAAGCTAACACTATAACGATTTCAAAAATGTCCTACAGATTACGTTATTCTTGTAAATAGATATTTATTTGCAAATACGTGTGCTTAGATGCATCTCGATGATTAACATTTGTTTGAATGAAATTTCTTTGTTCAAAATTTAAAATAGGCGTTGTTTCTTTATAAACAGGAATATGTTAAATAAAATTGTATTTTCTGTGGTCACATACAGCAAACAGTACTTCTCTAAACACGAATTTCACTAAAATAAATACTTGAAACTTGTATTTTTTATTTTTTTTTTAGAATATCCCATCATACATTTTAACTAGCTTGATAGTATGTGGCATGTTCCACGGTATGCTCTTATTCATAGAGGCCTAATTTTACGTAAGGAAATACGATCCAAATAGATTACAATATAGGCTTAATGTGTAGCTTTCGATGCACTTTTTTTTTTAAGATTATGTTTCCTTTTCTCTAGTAATTCTAGCAGAAAACAGAGATTCTTTAATGCACAATGTGAGTTAATGCACTGGTGACGAGTTGATTTTTAAATGTTGTTAAATGCCTTTTAAAACGGCTAGGTTGTGATTTAAGTGCATAGCCTTTTCCTGATGTTCTTTTATTTATTTATTTTGTGAAAAGTTGTCTGTGAGGACCGAAATAAAATTATTGATTGATTGATTGATTGATGTAATTAACATTTTAGTGGTTTTAGAGATATAGAGCAACTTACTGCACAAATGTATCTTATTATGCAACATGCCCTGTTTATCTGTGGTTACGGGTGTTGTTATAAACCTAGTACGAAGCTAAGTATGGGCTATCTAAACTCACATGAAATAAGATGGTAATAGTTGCTTTAATGTCTTTTTTCAGTTTTTTAATGACTTTTGTAAATTTAGAAACATAATTTGCTATTGTCCTTTTGCTGAGGCACAACAGCATCATGTGTTCTATTCATTCTTGTATATTAGGGGCAACTATTTATTGGGCACGGCCAAGACACACAGCAAGTGCTGAAATCACTGTTATATTGTATTACATTGCATTGATGGTCCAAGACATTCACCACAGACAGTGCAATCCTTCCTGAAACATTTGCCTTTTTGCAAGCGTAATTTAGAATTTCTGTTGCTAAATGTTGCAGAGAGAGTAGAATTGACTGGTGTGTATCTGAATAAAGTGATAAAATAAAAAAGAAAATCCTGTTTATTTGTGTGTGTGAAATGAGCGACTGGATGGAATACTAGCGGAGTCGTTCACGGTCCTCGCCACAGGCAGTATATCAGGCCTATAAAAATCAAAGCTGCCTGATGTAGTATTTTATTATAGTATTAAACGACCAAAAAAGTTCAAGTAGTTTCTTCCATAAATACAAGGGGATTGTCGCACGGTGGTGTTTAATACCCTCGTTAACAAAAAATGACTGTTAATTTCCCAATAAAGCTGTTCATTATCTCAACGTACTCCTATTACTCCAAAAAGAAAGAGGTTTGTCTCCTCGGAGGTTTAGACGTTTAAACACGTGGGGGGGTAAAATATTTTAGTGAAAAAAATCGGTTGAGTAAACTTTATAAGCAGACGTCACCGCCTTAGTTTGGTTTTTGTGGTGTCTTTCAAAGTCCTGTTAAATATCTGGATAAATTGCCTATATTAAATAGTTATTGTCACACATTTTATCAAGCAAACATGATCAAGCTCCCATTCAGCACTTATGCTGTAGATCACGATATAATGCCACATCAATTCATAGACAAAAATTTTCTCTCACTTATTATTGTGGGCCATTGTCCTGCATATGCATTTTATTAATATAATGTCAAAACGTTTCATAATTTAAGTTGACATTTTCCCGACTGCTTGTAGATATCTGGAGATATATGGACACGCTCCCATTTTGCATATTGCATAAACAAGACAATTTATTTAGATGGGAAATATAGAGAGCGCAAGAGGAGGAGAGCTCCGTACAGCCTCTTGGCGGATTGATTTACACCCCCATTGACGCTTTATCAGGTTCGCGAAAAAAGTCTGACCAATCACTTCGCTCGGAGCGCACACCACAGCAGCCCGGCTCTACTTCGTTGGCGAGCGAGTAGAGAGGAGTACCGTAAAGAGGGGAGTAAAGCACATTTCTATTGTACATGTTTTCCCTTTAATGAACAGTACGTTATATAATGTCCGAGAATGTCAATTTCTGGAACTCTAAGCAACTACTATGTCGATTCTATCATAAGTCATGAGGGAGAAGATCCGAACGCGTCCCGCTTCTCCAATGTACAGTACTCCAGCGCTAGACAACCGGGACCCGGCGAGCATCCCGAGTTCCCCTCTTGTAGCTTCCAGCCCAAGCCTCCAGTTTTCAGTTCGTCATGGAGTCCATTCAGTTCCCACGCGTCCAATGGCTTACCCGCGATCTACCATCCGTACATAACGACGCAGCCAGTGCCTTCAACGGATACTCGATACCTCCGCACATGGCTCGACTGTGCTCCGAGAGCAGAGCCTCTGCCTGGGCAAGGACAGGTCAAGATGGAGCCGCTCCTGGGACATCTCGGGGAACCACCGAAACTAGTTGGGCAGCATGAGTATATCTTGGAGTCCTCTACAGCACGAGAGATGAATTCTAGTCACAGCGCCGGGTTTGAAGACAATAAGGACATATGCGAAGGCAGCGAGGACAAAGAGGGACCGGATCAAAGTAAGTTATAAACCTAGGAAGTGAACACTCTGTAAAGCGTTTAATGCTGTCATAA